ATGGACTTGTGCACCTTCAGGTTCTCTAGGAACCTTCCCTTTCCTAATCTCAGTCCTTGAGCCTTTCTAGCTGAATTTTCTCCCTCCCCATCCCCAAAGGCAGTGGGGTAGAGCTGAGTGAGCAGCTACATAGCTCTTGTTCTGGGCAGGGTGGACTTAAACTATGATAGAGATGAATGAAAAAGAAGAGGCCGTAACTGATGAAAACATTGATTTGCTGCAGCTTTTGCCTCCGGTCAAACAAATCAAGGACTGGGGTATGATGAAGGTAAGTGAGGAAAAAGATTATACCCTGCGCAGTCCTCTGTGCTGGAAAATGCTCTGAACCAAAGCAAAAGCAAAGAGATAAGTTCTTAATTTTTCATAGGTGAAAGGTCCTCTTTAAAGAAAGACGGTGAAAAAACTAGCTAATTCAGTTCCAGGCTCTGCAAGATATTTGAGTACTATAGCCAATGTATTCTTGCTCTCCCACTCATAAAGCCCGATGCAGGGCTAACCCACGTCACAGATTTTACTGTGAGGCTAAGAATCTTTAATAAGTAAAATTCCCATACAAATTAAGATTGTGAGACTGTGGGCAGATCAAGAGGCCTGGGATCTTCAATCTCAGCCAAGCACGCAGACCTGCATGACCAGTCACATGTGACCACTTTCATTCCCTTTGACACCGTGTGGACAAAGAGGAATTATATCTGCTTTTGCTTCTCAAGTGCAGTTATTGGAGATTGTGAATCTCTTAAAAAAAAATTACTATGGGTACTGTGTGGCACTGCCTTAAAGGTGTCATCAGCAGCACATGAAGGGTTCAAAGGCCTGTGGATAGTCATGCTTCTACTGTCTTCAATGTTGTAGTTGAAAATCGACAATATTAGCAAAGTGTTAATACCAATAAATTTGAAATGGTGTGCTGGAAAACTCTGAAGATGATTAGGTAGACTTAAAGGAGCAGAGGAGAAAACTAGTGTATTGCATTTTCTAATAAAAGTTATCTGTCCTTTTCCCATCTTGCTGAAGTTATTTGATATGGGACTGGAGGCATACCCATATCCCCCAGAAGAGGCTGAAGATGCCAAATATCCACCAATGTACATAACCCTTAGGCTTTCTGGACAGTGTGATGTATTTTGAGGATCCTGTGATAGCCCAATGCAATCCTGCAGGTCTGAACTTAAGTGTGAATAATTGAATTTATACTTGAGTTTGATTAGTTCCAGAATCTATCTGTAAAGATAAGAGCTAATTCAGAGCCCAGACATAATTTGAGGAATTCAATGGTAATTTATTTTTTGTTTGTTTGTTTTATTTTGCTTCTGTGTCATATCTAAGATTGTTCTGCAACATTCCAGTAAGCGCTTTAAATTCAAGACTGTTTGATCTGATGGACACTTAAATTGTTCTTCTCTCCTCCCAACCATACATTTCAAGCAACTTCTGACCAATTCTACTTATTCCTTGTAAAGGTTCGAGTTACACATGATTATCCACATGCTCATTGCTATGTAAATCTCTTCAGTAACAGACATGATTTTAAGAGAGTCAGTATGAGCATATGCAAAGGCCAGCAGACCAGTGTCATTCCTGAAACCCTGAGAGAGGTGGTTTTCTTCAGGATATGCGAACGGATCTTTAGAGCCAAGAGTAGTAGATAATGCATGCAATAGCCAGAATAATAAAGATACTAATGTTTGATGCCTCAAGCAGAAAATAGCTTTCATGAACAGTAAGTTGCTTTCACTGGTTTATACAGCAGGGTAATCAGGGTAAATGTTGTCCTCAGTAATGGTAGAAGAAAAGGATGTGATTTCCTGCGTCACAGGAAAAGGGAGAGGTCCAGTTGACCTAAGAGCAATTTTGAAAAAGGCTGACGTGAATAGTTTCTCAAGAGAATATTCTCACACGTATGCTTCTGTGAGCAAGAAGGTGAATATGAGAGCAGATGGTTTTTCTGGGTTTTTTTCCCAGCTATTTTTTCACTTCAGTAACATGTTCTTGTATGAAGACCTGCTGTGCAGAATCGGGTGGCAAGTGTTCTGCCAGCTTGGACAGTGGATTCTGATTTAAAGAAAGATTTATTTTTTTTCTTATATTTGTATAACAGGGAATATGATGGGGTAGGGTTTTTTGTGTTGGTTTGTTTTTTTTTTTTCCCTAACTTCTGCACTACACGCTTCCCTAGCAGAAGTTAGGGCCTGTCAGCAGATGACGCTGGTTGCATCTGCTTTTGCTTAGAATGTGGACTCTAGAAGCTGGTCAAAAGCAAGTGATGTTCAGTGTTTGTGGATTTAGACTAAGCTAGAGGAAAACGATCACAGAACTCCATCACAGTTAAAGAGACAGAAACAACTAACTTCTCTGCTCCCAGTTGGGGTTTCAGATACAAACTGTACCATATTGTTGAAATCTTGAGCAGCTCTCCCACTGTCTTAAGTTAAATGCCTATGGCATAAAATCTTTAGCCTAATACTCAGTCCTAGAAGCAAGAACTAAAACAAGTGATGTATATTGCACCTTAGCTACTCTCTCCACAGGAGTCAGGAACAGCAGCTGGAGTGGCTAAAACTTGCATTTTACAAAAGCAAACTAGATGGAAGATTTTGGTGTTGACACAGTCTTGGACATAGAGAGCTGATATTGTTTTAAGGATTAAAGCGACATCTGGGTTTTGTTTCCATATTATAGTCATAAGTATACTAGAATTTATAATTTCATATTAGAATTTATACTTTGTTAGTGTCATGGCCTTCATGTTACAGCACTTTTTTTTTTTCTGCAATAGGTAAATAAGCATCTTAAAGCAGATTGTGTCAAAGAGTGGTGTCTTTTAGATGTTTAATGGTCAGAAAGCACAAAAACTCAAGATTACCAAAACCGGTGAAACTTTTTCAAAAGCACTAGACTCTCCCCCTACCACATGCTTAAAGGTTTTTTATCAATTATTTCCTTGCTAGCAAAGTGGAAAGAGCTAGCTTCCTGTTTATTGATGTTGTACATCAGCTATTCCTTGCTACAAGAGTTTTACCATACTCTTAAGTACTGCATGCTTTCCTTCTAATCCTTATTAACAAAAGCTTTCGCTAAAGTTGCATTTCAAGTGTTATATTCAAATCATTGGAACAACTTCAGTGAGTAAGACACAAACACTTTTTCTTTTATTAAATCAAAATACGTTCTTTATTCTCTTGTGGCTAGACCACTTCATCATTCTTCACTATGCTTAAAATTGCTGTTTTATTGTAAATGGAACTGAGACTCAAAAACCTGGATTGAATAATGTTGGAGAGCAGAATGATTGTGGTGAATTTATGTTCTTGTAAGTGTGGGGAAGGAAGGAAGGGTGGCTTGTGTGGGTAAAATTGTTCACTTTTGTCTGGTGGTGTGAAGATTTTTATTTTTTTTTGGTGGCAGGAATTTTTTTTGTGATTGTGAGTAAAGTTTGTGAACATTCTGTGATGAATGTGAATTTTAATGATTTAAAAATTACTCTTGCCAGAAGGGGAAAAGAAGTTTTCAATTGCAAATCGTGCTTCAAACAACAAAACAAACAAGCATCTCCCCCCAAAAAACCACCCACAACCCCAAAAAACATACCCAAACATGTGATCTTAAATACACTGTCATCCAGAACTTGGAAGTATAACCCTAAACATCAGAACTGTTGTTATACTGGGGGTGGTCCATAGTGTTGAACTCCTATATATGGCCACAACAGTTGCTGTAGTAAAGTCCAGGAGTCCCCAGTTCCTACAGATGCTGCTTCTGCCGGTCTTTGAAGAGACAGCCCCGTGAGGAAGCTTGTGAGAGCAGCAAGGAGAACCAGGATGGAAACAGAAACCCAGAGAGTTTTGTTGGCATTGGAAAAGGAAGTCTTGAAATGGGATAGCCATGCTGACATTGAGTTGCACCTGCGCAGAAGAGTAAGTCAGAGAGGGGTTCTGGTTTTCTTCAAATGTGGAAGTCCCAAACAAACATACCAATCCTTAACGCTCTAAAGTGACAACGCTGCTACTGTAGCGGGAGCTACATACAGTGGCGGCTTATGCTCTGGGTTTAAAATGCAGACTGCAGTAAGCAAATTCTTGGTAAGATATTCAGGTGACTGACTCAACACCTAAGTACGCAGCTGTTAAACCTGTCATAGAGCAACTGAAATAAGTGGGATCACAGCATGAGGCTCCTCTTTACCTCAGCATTTAGGATCAGTAATGAGTCCCTGGTGGGACAAGTCTGTGGCACCTGAAATTACTCATTCCCGGTTTGTTTAAGAAGGGGGCATTGATATCCAAACCAAAGCTACAGCTTTGCTTCCTCTTCCAGTGTCCACCACCCAAGTACTGCTTTACCTCACGATGATGTGAGAAAACTTACGCTGACTCTAGGTTCCATTTTGATGAAGGTTTTCCTTTTTCAGAGGTACTTTCCTTCCTGGCTGGTGGTTCTTGTACTTCAGCAGGTGATTCCAACTGCTCATTTCTGTAAGGCAAGCATCAACAGTTCCAAAGCTTTTCCATCAAGCATTCAGTGTGACAGAGCTCACAATAGCTTGACTTTATAGCCCTGATCAAGTGATTAACACTTACAAGTTCCTTAAAAACAAGCCAACACACACCTCAGAGGAATTTGCTGTTGAACTTACTTTGTTTCAGAATGTTCACCCTCGTACTCTGCCCATGAATATGTGCTAATGAACCGCTGTAGTGAAGGACGCTTCTCATTTTGCTTTGGTCCTAGTCGGCCCCTGTCATATTTTAAACAAAATTTGCTTTAATTTTCCCATCAGATATATAGCACGAAATTAGAAATTCAGCAGCAGCCTACTCATTTGAGTAGGCCTTAGACAAATAAGTTTCAAAGTCAGTTGTCTGAAAGTAAGATTTTTTTAAAAAAAAAAAAAAATCAATGCCAGCTGCCTGTGTTTTCATATTCTAGTTCTAATACAAGACAGTCAAGGTAATTTTTTTTTAAAGTCTGTTTCTTAAAAAAGCTGTTACCTTACATTTACTTATTGAAGCATGTGAAAGATGCACCCTAAATGTTATTATATCTCAAGATGCTCCATAAGATGCCTAATGCAGGCAGAGTTCAAGTTCAAAATTTAACCCTATTCAGAAAGCCCAAGTAACTTTACCAACTGCTTGATCTCCTGTTGAATTTATCACCCCGTCCATCTCCATCAGGTTCATGGATTTGGGCCTAGAGAAGAAATTTGATACGCTTACTGCATTGGCATTTTCATACTTCAGCCCAGCCAGTTTTGAGAAGGTAAAGTGCCTCACCACCCAGGAACCCTTACTTACCGGTGGCAACCCAGTACCTGCATTTCCAGCACTCCTAGGCAATGCTGCAATGCTAACTCTTCGTAGGGCTGATGATGGCTATACAAATAAGAGGCATTACTGACTCTTATCAAGGAACAACTGGATAACTCACTGATCACAAAAAAAACCAATTTGTTTTTATACAAACTATATATATATATATAAAAAATAATAGATACTGATTCTTGCTTGAAGTGATGCATGAAGAAAAAATCAAATCATTAGCACAGCCCAAATCATATTCTTTAAAGCCGCATCTTCCCACATTAACAGCTTTTTACCCTGCGAAGCATCTGAAGTGAGGTTGGCTGCACAGCTTCCAGGAAAATATGAAAATCGAATGTGTCTCTTCCCTAACAGTGTTCAACTGAATTGCTCACATTAATCTTTCTGTGCTAAACCCTTCTCCTGCAACCCCAGTGAAAGAACCTCATGTGAACTATATTTCTTAACCACTGCATGACAGCACAGCCATTTCAGCTTCTGTGAACACTTCGTCTTCTAAGTGGGACCACATGCAGCTCTCTTGGGTTGGTGGAGGGAGGAAGGAGTGACTGAAAAATACATCCTTATGTTTGATAGCATCAGCCCATAGCTGAGACAGATCACCACCAATCAAGCATGTAACAGAACATCAAGACATGACAAAAAGAACACATAAACACACACACTTGAAATTTCATGTTAGGCTGTAAGGGCCATTACCTTAAAATTAAAAGAATTTGGTAGCTTTTTATTCGTAGATTCATCTGTGAAGAGATCAAACATCAGAAAGGCTTACAGGAATGCAGCAAGCTTTATTTGCAACTAAAGGTCTGACTTTTTTCAACATCTGTTCAAACAAAGAGTGTGTCAGAGTATTCTCAGAAAGCAGAAATGAGATTTCAGAAAAAGCTTTCTTGTTCATTACATAAGTTCATTCGCACCTTATACACCCTCTCCAAGCATCCATTTCTGCTGCTGTCATTAAATGCATTCTGTTACCGAGGCAGTGTCCTGTTGCAGGACAATCTTTTACAATCAGAAAGGAATAGCCTAGGATTCAGAAGGCTCCTGTGAGGGTTTTACCAGTGTGCAAGACTGCCCTTTCTGTTGTTTAAAATGCATGCTCTTTTGCAGAAGAATGTAATCCTCCTCCGGCAAAGCCACAAGTACACGGTATCATCTGTACCATCTGCTTGGAAGGGGAGATTCAGAGCACCTGCACTTAAGGGGTCTGTAATTTGTATTTAGAAAAGAGCAGGAAGCATCTGTAGAGAGCAGCCAAAGCTCAGCTGCCTAGCAATAGCTGCTGAGAATGCTCTGGTGTGAGTGAGCAACGAAATGTACTGCTCACAAGGAATAAGATTATTACCACTACATGCAATGCACTTTTGTAAAAGCCAGAATATTACTGCGTATTTGCAATCTTTCCCCCTCCATCCAAAGATTCATGCCAGTTTTACACACGAGTCTAATTTCAGAGAGTTGTTTCTAATATTGTTAATGAATTGCTTTTTTTTTTTTCCTCTACAGTCATATAACTCCTCCACCCAATATAAGTTTCAGCTAGATAAGGGTCTATCTGGCAAGTGCTGGAAAGAGGAAAGACAATGCAGCTTTTCTTAGTTACCTCGATCTCCAAGAGAACTAAAAGACCTCTCAGTCTGGAGCAGGACCTGTTTCAGCTCCTCAAGTTCTGCATGTTCTTTTGCATACATGCGCTTCAGGTTTTCCACATGCTGAATCATTACTTCCACAGCCTTGCTGACACGGCTCTCCTAACAGAGTGAGTGCAACAGCAGTTGGAAAAGAAGCAGCTCTTTGAGGAACTGCGTCACATTTAGAGTTTAACACTTTTTTTTTTCCTTTAACCATCTACTCTCATCTCATATCCCTGTGATGCAACATCATCTCATTTTTGTCCACACTTTCAAAGCTTTTCTACAAGTCATCTCCCAACACATGCCCAAGTTATACATATCTCATTTCTCCAGCAATTACTCTTATCCCAGAATAAATTAGTCTTCATTTTCCGAACCCTTACAACTCCTCTTCATCTTTCTCTGATCTAGTCTCAGCTTCCACCACGCATTTGCTAGTACTGCCAAGTCATATTTTCATGCTGTTCTTTGGCATTATACACAATGACACATAACATTTGAGCAGGTCTTTGTAAATTTCCATAGATTTAGCTTATTAGCTGCCCTTTCTATAATGCACATAATTACTCTATCAAGACTACTACCACACTACATTCTCATGCTCTCTTCTGTATATGACCCTCCGCTGCAAAGTTTTTTTTCTGGATGTTTGTTTCAAGGTTTCTTGTTTTAAATCAGGACCGTCTATCTGTTGTGTGTTTTTGCACAATGCTAGTGTGATGTAGCTGCTCTCACAGTGCCTGGGATTCCTTATAATAATGCAGAAAGTGGTCCGAGATGAGAAAGTCAGGACCAAGCTACACTGGTCAGTCTGCACTGTGTGCACAGGTTCCCAAATCTAATTCTGGAATCAGAAGCCTAGCAGACAGATGTAGCTATTCCTTTACATCTAGAAGCTTTTAACTTTGTACAAAATACATTTACATGGAAGCAGTTACCTGATTAATAGCTCCCAACATCTCTGCTCTACTGGCGACTCGGGCTGCATACTGGCTAAGGAACTGCAAGCTTTTCTGCAACTTCTTAATGAGCTCCTGTGCTTGGTTGTCTTCTTCACACAAAGGAACTAAAGCCTAAGAGGCATAGTGGTAAGAAAAACAGTGTAAGCTATTAGCAACGAAAAAAAGGGTGAACCCAGCTATTGGCACTGAGGCACTGTGTTCAGGCCTGCAAAGTCACAAGATCAGCATCCAACACCCTTGATCACTCTAACTTGGATATGATCAGAGTGATCAGAGAATTCAGCTTCCCTAGCATAAAATCAGATAAAGACAGGGGTTCTTCTTGCCCAACATCTTTGCAACAGAAAATTTAGCCACTGTCTGAGCACACAATATGCTCAGATGAAGGCTACCCCTTCACGTGCAAAGTCTCTCATAAACCAAGAGTATCACTTAAGATAAGAACTTTGTTCAGATTTGCTTATAAAGGTATCACACACATACACACAAATCCTTTAAAAAGCCATATTAAAAGAGACACTTTCAGAACCGTCCGTCCTATCCACCCTACCAGCCTTGGCCAATACTAACCTCCAACATCTTTAGAGCATTTGTGATCTCCTTTTTCAAATTTTCTTCAGCCAAGTCTCGGGACCTTTCTTCAAGCCTCACTCTCTTGTCCAAGGTAAACAAGTCACATTTAAAACCTAAAGACAACCTCAGAAATTCAGCCTGTTGTGAGAGAGGAAAAGACTTCAGAATAATCCAAGTGATGAAGAAGCTTTTAAAGTAGAGTTGGATACTGACACAACGTTTGGAACTATACTTCACAAGCAATGTTACAGGATAGATAGGGAAGAGAAAGCAAACGTGACCCACTTCCACAAAGCCAGTCTTCCTGTCTGTAGCGATGGGGGAAATAAACTGCAGCCAGAATAGGTGATATCCTGGCAGCATGCAGTCTGTCATCTGTGTCTTTTGACAAAACTGTGTTAAACCAGCACACTGGGCCTGAGAGGAGGTCACAGATATGTGCCTTCGAGCTTGCAAACAAATGTTTCAACAGTGAGAAATCTTCCGTTCAGTTTTACAGATTTTCACCTTTTTCCATCCCATCCCTTTCAAAAGTTCCATTGAGCTTGGAAAGACAGATTTCAGAAGCCAATTTATAGAAGTATATCCAGTTTAAACTACTTAGCATCATTATTTTACACAGGATAAGATATTAATCATGGCTCATCTACAAGATCTTTCTGCTGTTGGAGATACTTAAGGATACAAGCAGTCAAGACTCACCTCCACTTCCTTCTCATTAGGGGAGTCACTGCAGGATAAGAAAACACAATCATGTAACACACTATAGCTTTAAGTTCATACCCACAGGTGATGACTGAAAGTCAGAACACTTACGGCTCATTTTGCTTTGTTTTATCTCCTTTAATGCCACCTGCAGTGGGTGAACTCCCTGAAAAGAGAGAAAATGAAGTTCTCAGCCAAAAGTGAAAAAACGGCCTCCCAAAAACAGTTTGTGAAAGTCTTTTAAGCTCCAACAGAAGCCTCTGTTAAAGATTTCCAGTGTTAAGCTCTTGCTAGTAAAAACAACTTTTGTAACTCAGGGTAAATTAAAGTTAGAGCACCAGTAAGGCAGCACAGCACTGTCACTTGTACAAAGCCCCAAAAGTTAGTTGTCTAGTTGGCTTCATGTGACATCTAATTAGTACACGAATGGCTAATTATAGGTTTTGGCTTAAGTCCCCAGCCCATGGGTTCAGGATGCTACATATCTTACTACATCACCAGCTTTTAATGAACTTGAACACAGAAGGTGAGGTGACTAGAAGAGGGGAGATGTCTAAGTGCAGTTCCATAGAAACATCATCCTACTTATCTATATCATATTACCCAAAGCTCCAGCTAGCATAAAGGATGCTGCTTCACAAATCTTCGGGGATGAGAGGCATGCCAGATCTGTTTCAAATATCCCAACTCCTATGAAGCTCCTAACAAATTTTCCCTTCTGCCTAGAGGAACATGGAGCTGGTTAGATCAGTATCTGTAGAATTCAGAGAAACAGATTTTGCATGGTAATATTTTCCTTATCACCACTGCTAATCTAATTTTATCTCTCACTGCAGCTCCTATTCCTTAAAACAAAAACCCCTCACCATAATTGGTGTGGGGCAGGCAGCTCTGCGCTGCTTTACACAGCTCTTGAACTAGGTGACCAAGGCCTGCACTCCAATGAGTTACCAGAACACGTTCAGTAAAAACCTCTTACCTTTCCTACTGGGAACCACAGCTGGTGCTTCCTCACTTTGGTCTTTATTATTTTTCTTTTCCTGGCCCACCTCCTAAAGGCACATCAGAGAGTAGTTATAGCAAGGGAGCAGCCACACCACCACTGGAGGGGCCTGTCCCCTCCCGCAGTCTTCTTGTTTGTCACTGCTCAGCTCCACCAGGTCTACATTTCACTGTCACTAGGACTCTTACCAGGTCTTGCTTTAAAACCGTTTGAAATGTGGGTTTATGTCCTTCCATCATGGGGCAGAACTCCTTCTTGGTCAGATCTTCTCCTGGGGAGAAACATTCACAAAAACAAATGTAATGATAAAACCAAAAAAAGCCGCCAACACACAAGTGTACTAGCCATGGACCAACAGGACTAAAAGAAATTGCAGCAAATGCCAGCAGAGGGCATTAAGGATGAGAGGCAGCAGCAAAATAAATGCTATAAAGACATAAAGGAAGGAGTGTAATGATAATTATGTTTGTCTTGGAAAAAATCGCAATAAGAAGTATTACATGTCTACAACTGAGAATATTACCTCTAGTTGGAGTTGCAAGAGTTACAGTAATATTCCCTTGGATAAATGAATTTCATTATTTTGATACCAGCATGAGTTTGGTTTTATTTGTTTGGGTTTTTTGATATTTAATGAGACAACTTAGAATTAATTTTTATTTGGAATTCTATAAGCACAGAAATACAAAAGAAAAGTCTTATGTGCAAACTAATAGTAGTAATGAGTATTCATTATTCTCTTCTTTCACATTACGGAATATCAGATGAAGTCTAGAAATAGGTGCTACTTCAGCAGCAGTTATAGAGGAGCTCGAGCACAACCAGGTCATGAAATGCACACAGTTGTGGTATCTCAGGCGTCCATAAGTTTCAAGTATATTCTGCCACTTGGACTGTCCTTCATACCTAAAAACTGAACTAGCAGAGTGCTGATAGAGGAAACATAACTGTCCCAGAAGATGAGTGGTGATGAACTGGTAAGTTCAGGAATTGATGATGCTGGTTCAAACACAACACAAACTTGCAAGTGCCGCAGTTTTAAAAAGTTTCAAAAGCAGCAAAAATAACGTTCAGGAAGACAGCTATTAGTGACTTTAAAAGGAAAATATTGAAGGAACTGAACAAAGTCTGATAACCACACTAGTTTCTTGTGCAGCAGTATCTCTGGTAGCTATTTATACTTTTTAGAACATCTAAAATTAGTTTTTCCACTGTTTATGTGGTCATACACCCCCACAAAATGCAAACCAAAGAAATGGCACAACAACAACAACAAGCTTCAGATCCGAAGTGATTTCTCTTTTCATCCTTCATACAACCAACCAGCTTTGCTTAGCATTCCCTTTTGTCCCTGCTGATTTTTGCAGTAGCTTTACGTATCTGACCTGGCAGGCTCCCAAGCACCTCTAGAAGACATTGTGTGGTACTAGCAAAAGCCACAAGTGGAGATTCATCTGTGTCTCCGTTCTAATACTAGAAACACTTTCTATTCAGAGATGTACAACAGGCAGCAGACTTTAAAGCTCTTCAGACTCTTTCTGATCCATTTTGCATATCTATTTCCTCCTTGCCAAAGGCACCTAGACCACATGTGAAAATTAACAGCAGAGGCAAATTAGCAGAGGAAAAAAAAAAGAAAAAAAAAAGTTAGTTTAAGAGGGGGGACTGAATTAGATTTCAGGAAGATAGTACTAAAGAAAGAAACAACCAAACAAGAAATGATGACAAGAAGTCTTATATTTAGGTAAAGGTTAACAAATGGTTACAAACAAGCACACACATGTATTCTGGGCTGCTTATTCAGATCAACTTTTCTAAAAATAGCTTAAATACACTGTGTACATGGACTCCAGTTTTGTTTTGCTTGTTGTTTTTTGAGTGGAAGATGCACCATCAGATTTGGTAAGAATAATTCTCAGTGTTTATGGCTATAGCAAAAGACAGAACCATACGTAAAGGCCTCTATATCCTCATCTCTCCCCTTGACCCATCCCAGCTTCTTGTGAACTAAGCATCAGTTTTTGAAAGGGAGAAAATTGTTATATAGTCTACCTGTGTCACTGAATTTTTTAGAACCAGGAAAGTATTCTCTATGCTCCCAAAACTGCCCTGGGGTTTCGTACTCATAAAGCTAAGCAAGCATCCAGATTTCACTACATTATTTTATGTTTACTTTTTGCATCGATGTAGGCCACTGACCTCCTGTAAATTGGTAAAGCCTTATTCCTACTCAGAGTGTGAACGCACAGGCAAAAATGTGTTCAGCAACAGAAAATAACAAGTCATTCAGTTATTTTTCTCGCTCAGCTTCCTCACTTCAAAGACATGCTGGAAGCCAGCCCTTTCCTCACTGCCCGTGTGCTGCAGCAGTTACTGTACCTGATACAGGAACCGGTGGATCCTTATCGTTGTTTTTCTCCATTGCTACAGAAGTTGGCACATCTTCCTCCTTTTCACGTGAGCACTTGGGTGATTTTTCCTCCATAACAAGGTAGCCTGTAATATCAGGCAACAGAAGACTGAGCTCTTACTGCTCAGTAATGCATAGGCATGAGCATATCTATTTTTTCCAAGACTTTGAGTGCAAAAAGTTCACACGTCTATGCCCCAAATTAAGGGCTTACCTCTTACTGGTGCAGTGCTTTCCTAAGAGGAGGTAAGAACTTCTTGGGGCGATGTTAAGTGTTCACTGTTAAAACAAAATTCAGCTACTCATCCATGTTATACAATATTGGTAAAGGCTTTTAAAAGCTTGCTCAAAACCCACCATGGATGGGATCAGACTGGCTGCTAGTGTTGGCTCACCACCATCAATCTTAATGGGAAGGGAAAAGAGTTAGTATCAGGGAAAGGGCTGCCATATGAGTAGAAAATTTGTATGACAAAGTTTTTAATAATTCCCCAGCTGTGCCCAAATCATTTTGGCAGTGAAGAACTAGGTGGTAAGTGCATGCAAATTCATCTGCTAGTCTAAAGCCACCCATGCATACAGTATGTAGATTACCACGTTATCATCATTAGGAGTGATGACTACATTTCTGCAGACGTCTCAGAAATATCACACTTAGAGACGTATTTTGGTTCTGGATTTCATGTTTTGTTTCTGACACCCACTGTCAAATGACCAACGTACTTGTTACCACATCATGGTTCTATCTTAGTGCTGTGTATCAAGATATATCCGTTCTCAAGGTCTCGACCTCCAACCCTACAAAGTGAGGTGCAAAGAGCTTCTTGGCTATAGATGTGAGACTCATTTAGGTAAATGAAAGCTTTACTGTTAACAGCATGGTTAAGCAGATGATTCAGAAGGCAGAAAACTTGCACGTTGTGTTCTACATTTTAGCATCTGTCTCTGAATGAAATTGTTTTTCAATATTACCTATAACAATTACCTCGCCACTCCAGAAGGCTTCAGCCCTCCTCCTTCGTATGCAGATGGCAGAGAGGAATTCAGCACTTAAAACACGGTAGGTAGTTTTGCTCATGTTCCTTTAGCAGCTACAGTGCCGTTTTGAATACAAGTCTTATCACATCACAGCCAAGACAACAAATCTTTTGACATAGCAAGACACACACTGAATGGAAAATATCTCTCTTTCTCATTTCACCCTGGATAATTCCAGCTTACTTATTCAATTGTTGTATTAGTTTCTGTTTATGGGTGACAATACTGAGTGAAACAAAAGTTTAAAGGGTTAAGTCATTAATGACTTGTGATATGCTCCATCCACTGCTGAAGAGGAGTGCTGAATAAGAAAAAAAAAAAACAAAACATCATTCAGACCTGTCTCCGAGCAGAGAAGGTATGAGGCTAGCCAGCTTTGGGTAGCTCCCTAGATATCCAGCATCCAAGAGCACTATTGAAGTATGTGGTGGGAAGAACAACAGAAAAAAAAAAAAAACATATCAGCAAGTGATCACTTATGTTCTGGTATCTTTCCTCCTCCCTTAAACATCCTCAGAGGGCTCAGGAAACCCAGCAAAGTAGAAGAGGAGATGACCAAGGCCCCCAGTCACTTGCAAGAGCAGCCAACTGCTGCCAGAAGTGCCTGCTCTCTCTTTTCTGCTCACTGTCTGATCAGAGCTCGACTGTGCTCACAGAGCCTTGCCCCAGCCAGCTGGATGTTTCCTCTAATGCAAATCCAGGCTATTTTTATTCTTATTTCAATGCTCTGTTAAGCTTAAGGAAGTACAGCGTTGCAATTTACTTGTTCAGGCCTCAGGGTCTACAGGGGTATGGCGAAAATGAACAGTGTGTTGGAGTGAAAACAAAAGAGATCTAATGGGCTTTTACAAAAAAACCCCACACACCTCACACCACCCGAACAAACAAAACCCCCTTGCATCACCTGGATCTGACTAAAGCCATACATTATACCACATGCCCTTTCCCTCCCCAGGTAATCATATGGTCAGTCGTTTCTGTTTGCAATGAAGAAAAGTCCTCAATTCAGTTTTTAGACCCCAATTCTATTAGGATTGTGCTCTCCCATGGATCACATAGGGTACACTTAAAGAGAAATAATGAGAAACTCCCACGTTCTAGAGTTCCTAATAAAATCTGTTTACAGAGGGCATTAGAGAAAGGTTCTTTCTCCTAATAAAGACACTGTGTTAAAGAATAGCCTGCAGTACATTCCCAATAAAGAATAGCCTGCAGTACATTCCAAATCATTTTGAACCCCCCCATCCCTCCATTAGAAAAATAATCCAAGGATCCTCTATGAAAACAGACACGTTCAGGCCACAGTCTTGTATAACTCCTCCCAAAAAAGCATTAACATTTGGAAAGCTTCTTGTCTGGTCTTTAGATTGTGATACCACTTTCACATTTATCAATCCAAACAGGTTTAACAACTCTAAGCTTCAGCTGGCTCTCACAAGAGTTCCTTTAATAAATAACCCCTAAACTCTTGTAGTGGCAATGCTTTGACAAAATCATTTGAGTTACTTACATGCTGAAGGGCTTGATCTGCTCAAACACATCTGCAACTAGAGTGTAATTAAAAAAAAACCTAGGGAGACTTTTCCTATTAAACAAGGATATTCAAATTTTGCTGCACGTCACAGTTTTTAGAATAGATACTGGACACAGCCTATTTGCCTTTTCACTGGGGCAAGCTTTAACATTTTCATTTTCTCCCCTCTAGAATATTCACACAGAAAGTTTATATTAATACATGAAAGAATAAAGCACAACAATTTCTGAGCTCAGCTGGAGTTACAGAAAGCTCCAGAGCAATGAAGCACAGACATTTCAAACAACTTGCAAAGATACAACTTTCCAGAAAGTAGTAGCAGCACAAGCTAGGAGGTCCTCACCTGCGTTACCCCAACTGAGTGGTGTGCTGAAACCACACACAGATCCCATCACCCTTACTTTTACGCCCTCACTGTACTTTCTGCCTTGATTTGCCACTATAACTGGACCACTGTTGCACTTTTAAGTTCCACACTTGTAGGTTCCAGCTGGGGCAGGTCTGAGGTTGCCTGCTCATCAGTCTTGCAAAGGTTATTTCCAGGGCCATAGAAACCACTGACCAATATTCTTCCATCGTCAGCACCAGCACCAATACTGGAGTTTATAAAGCTAATCAGCAGCCAGGTGTGGCAGGGCTGAGGTCTAGATTTCCATAGTGAGTATTGTGTCACCGAGCGTGCAGCGCAACTGGGTGTGCTGAGTTGCAGCTTATCTTGCTCTTGCCATGAGAGAGCTGACTGACAGCTCAAGCTGTACATGCAGGATTCAATACAACAGTGAAGGCATATCTGAGCACATCAGCTGAAGGAAAGTTTCCATACAGCAAAAACGTAGTTTTTCAGCTGTTACATGGTAGCTGTGGGAGAAAGCACAGCGAAAGGCAGCATTCACAACTAAAACATCCTGTGGCTTCTTGCAGGTGGATAAAAAGAGCAAAATCACTCAGACTTCCTTGGCAGAACTGAATATTGCTGTAGAAACAGCACTGTCTCAAGCCTTGAAACCATGTTTAAAATACTCCCCAGCTAAAAGCATGACCCATATGCACATGAAACATCAAGGTATTCAGGTCTATAACTACAGGATTCCAGAAGTGTGCCTGAATAGAAGGCACTACCCTACACAGAACAAGGTCTCACAGCACCCTGCTAACTGATGCCAGCTCCATTCACCCGAGATCAGTGCTGATGTATAGCTGCTTGATCTGTGTCTGAGTAAGCCACTAAATGCTTGAACCCATTCAAAACCACATCTCAGGCATCAGACAGCACTCACCTCAGCAAGAGAAGAGTCCATCATTGTAACGGAAACAGGAAGGTCTGCATCAGCACGGTTTCCAGCAGAGCATATTTTCCACCTGGCAAGACACATTTTATTTACATATTGCCCAAACAGTGCGATATAGTGCCCATTTTCCTTAAGCACATAACAGCTGAAGTCACCACTATCTGCATAGTCAGACAGCTGGTCTCTCAGAAAAAGACAAATCCATCACTAACATCAATCTCTCCTCCCCCAAACAGCAAGAACCACCACCAGTCCTTTTCCCAACCTCCTCCACATTGCACAATTCTACAGAAAACCAGTGGCAAAAGCTTCAAGAGCTGCTGAGTCTTGCTGCAGACTGCCTGCCTCTGCACCTTCAGGAACATCCTTATCTTTTTATTCACTGTCAATGCTTAGCTAGCTTTCATAATCTTAAGCAGTTCAATCTCTGTTTTAAAGATCTAAAGAGGCAGACTGATAAGCAAAGCCTTCAGAATTCCTGCTCAAAACTCTGAAAATTAAAAAAATAAATGTTAGCCCATAACACCGTTAACTGATCACCAAGTGTCTAGTATTTCCTATAAGGGATGCCTTGCTGTCGAACTCAGCATGTGTTGGGGATACAGCTTTCCCTTTGAACTTGCTAGGTCCTGTGAACAATTCCACTCTTCACCCCAAAAAGGTTATTCTGCCATCTTACTTGCACCCCACTGACGTCACATCTCAGCTGGATGAGAGTCCCAGATTGCAGATTTCAAACGTTGAGCTGCCAGAGCTCTGCCTACAAGGCCTATCCCAGTTGTGCACAGGAGAGTTACTGGGGCATGAGGTTTCCAAGGTCAGAGCATCTGTTATGAGAGACAAGTGTGAACAGTGGTGCTCTTTGGCAAAATTGGATTTAGTCACATGTCAATTTTTTACTAAGTCTAGAATAATCAAGAAGCAGATCAGCTAAATACAGATCTATATGAAGGCAGCTTCCATCTTGGCATGAAAGGATTAGGTTATATGGCCTTAACATATTTTGTAGATGGAGAGTTTGCAGCACCTGGGGATGGCCATTTTCCATCAGTCGGGTTACAGAAACTTCCATGTAGGACAGCTTTGTTGCAGTGAGTTGTTTGGTGTGGCAGGGAGGCTGGGACAAAGATCTTCCTTTTTGTATCAATATTTGATTTGTGCAAGCTGAGAATATCTGCCCTATTCCTGACTGGATTGTGATATTACAGCAAGCTGCCAGAACACT